CACGACAAATTTCAAGTACACAGAAAGTATATAGGAATGTGCCCCAAATCTAGTCTAAACGCTGTGAAGGGAGAAAATTAGTGTGCGATTGAGCCAAAGGAGAAAACAGGTTATATCGCACCATTCGCGTATGCGTGCGGTGACGGCAACAATCGTAAAAGCATGTAAACAATGCTAGGTGCATGAATACCGGTAAACAAATTAACAGGTGTAGTCTGCCAAACAGTGCAAAAAAGGCCTCTAAGGTCTCCCTGGGCATAAATAAATACACACACACACACACACACACACACACACACACACACACGCAAGCCACCGCCAGTGGTAGCGAACTAGTCGGTGGGAATTCATGGTAAATACCCCTTCCTCCTCCCTCTCATTTCCCACGTAAACTGTAAGCTTCTTGCATGTCATAAGTGAGTACCATTTTAGATAATGACTAGTCCATGTGCAAGCATTAACTCCTATCGAAACAAACCAGGGGCGACATTACTCAGCAGAAGACTACATCAGTCAATTACGGAGGTAATATTATTCGCTTTTTTTCAGGTTGAAAAGGCTCTTGACGAACAAAAAAGCATTGAACCCAAGGGCACCGGGGGATTGTTCTATGAGGACAGTGCACCAACCCAGCACATAAAACTGACAAAGTTTCCAAACTAAATCGGGCAACATGGACGCATAGACTGGACTCCACTCTTGCTTGGCCTGCACCCCTGATTAATTATTCCTAGGGTATACTAAATGGGGCAGGTTTATGCAGTTAGAATCAGATACGAACCATCTCCGACAACGAAGCACATATGCATGGATTGTAGGCGGTGAAAAAAAAAAGAAAGTAACGCATGTGTGTTACAGTTGCGTCGTTGAGGGTTGTGGGACTTAACTGGGCAGTCTGCAGACTAGACTCCAACCTTCAGCGAAATAGGGTCACTGCTGCCACTGATCCACGACTGCTTGTTTGGCGGAGCCAAGCCAGTTGATTTAGCAACTAGTCTTCACTGTGGGCAGTTCCACCGTCAACCAATGACACTGCGCTTCAGCAGACAAGTTTGTCAGAATGGTCGAACCAGGAAATTCCGTCGCGCCAAGGCAAAAAGTTAATAGATATATGACATATTGGGAAATCCGAACTAGGTCCACGATTGGGTTCGCTAAGAGTTAGGCTACCTTTGCCTGCGACGTTTTTAGCCTAAAAACCACACCACTTGAGGATTTCGGGTTCAATAAAGTTACTATCTTCCACTAAATGAGCAAAGGAAGATTTTCTTCGTTCGGAATTATCTTTAAGCAATGCGCTTTGGGCTTAGTGGAATGTGAATGTCTTGAGAATTGGGGGAGCGCAGCTCTGCGCTCTCCTAATTTTAACCAAAAAGAAACAGAGGGCGTATGCTATGAAGGAACCCCGTTAAGAACCTAACACGCTTAGTACATACGGCCGTTTCACAGTCATTACCGATCATCA